AGCCCTGAACCAAACTGCTGCTGCTCATGCGAATAGCGGGGAATCTCCGTATTCTCTGATCTTCTCAGTGCTGAAAATGAAATGTGTGCCGCTCCTCCACAAATACAGACGAATGCTAGAGCCAGTGCCAAGAAGTTCTGATAAATGTATCCTCTCTCAGGTAGAAAATGGGCAAATAGCCTCATCTAAATTGAAAACATGGGGCCAGGGGGTTAGCTCAGTGGCACGGCACCTGCCTGGCAAGCGTGAGGTCCTGAGTTGAACGCCCAGTTCTAAAAAAAAAATACATTTTTAAATTGAAAGCATGAAAATAATATGATTCTTCAAAAGAAAAAATAATATTAGGAACCATGAAAATGATATCATGATTTATTTAGGTCCCCCATCCCTGTCCTTGCAATAAAATTAAAACTATCATTTATTGCCTTTAAAAATATTCATCCTTCATTGGCAAATAAATAAGGAACTGCACTTATTTCTGAGTCTATACCATAGGCATGATGTCTTTGTCTACATGATGTCTTTGTCTATACCATAGGCATGATGTCTTTGTATACATGGAAATTTCCTGCGATAAATAACTGAATGAGTCTTGGTTCACCCACACTTCCATTAGAGGCTGGTTCTCCCACTGAGCAGAAAACCCTAGTGGCCTGAGACTGGGTCTTTCCAACTCTAGGAGAGGAGCTTCAGATGACTGGGAAGTCGAGGAGGTAGGATAGTAAGACACTTCATCAGTGGCCAAGCAATCAATAGATGCAAATACGTCAAATCATTGAACTGAATTAAATTGACCTTCTATCTTTGAGAAAAGCCTAAGGACAGAGAGAAAGAGTATAGGTTAGGTTGACTAGGCTTGTAACTAAATAGGAAGTCCAGGAGTGAGGAAGTTTTAGATTATAGCTCATGAAATCCTAGTCAGAGATGCAGGCATCTTTGATGTGAGGAGGCTTCAAACAGAGAAAAGGTGCTGTTGATACAGATTTAGAGTTTGCTCACACGTGGACATTTCCGTTCTCTTCAGTTCTGTTTGCCTTTCTCTGAAGGAGTTGTTTCCCAACTGCTCAGCATAGTCAAGTCTCTCTCGCTGCTGGCTTCTGGTCCCCTTCAGTGCCTCCTTCCTAAGCTGTCTTACTTCCTTTCTCTGCTCCATGAACGTCGGCATAATTTCCCACTGCTGTACTGAACCTACACTTCTGGCTTCTTAAGTGCCACTTTCTAATTGTGGAGAGTAGGAATCCTGATGGTTAAACTCAAATGTACAAGAAATTTCACAAGCACAATAGTCTCTAAATCAACTTGGTTGTAGTTACCACGCACCCCTCACTCTGCCCTTGGGATCAGTCATCATCAGACTCACATGATCCTCGAGGAACTTCACTTGGGGAGAGCTTTGGAGTCTTCTGTGACACTGGCCACAAAGAAGAATTCCATGTCCAGGCTGCCATGGAGCTTTTCAGTACAGATTCTGTGGTGCTGTGGGGTCACTAACTCCTGAGGACAAGACATCTTTGTGGTGAGTTATCTATTAAGATCTTTGGTTCTGGACCTAATTGTTATGTTGATTATAGTGACTCACTTCTCTCTTTGTAAGGGAAGCTTGTATCTCAGCTTCAGTTCTGAGACATCTACCGATTACTCTTTAACCATGCTTATTTTTCCTTTTTCATCTCATTTACATGTAATACTTCCCCCACCCAACCTTTTACTTTTGTGTTTTCCTGGGATTCCTGGGGTTTTCATCTACAATTATTGTTTCAGCTCTCATTGCATTTACCTCTATTTTACTTAACTCAATAAATTTCTCTTCTCAGTTGCACATGGTTAAAACTTAAATATCATTTTGACTCATTCCTGTCTTTCATTGTCACTTCCAAATTTATTTATCACCATATCTTGCTAACTTTATGTTTGAATGTACATGTACTTGAACCCTAACCACATTCCCAAAATGTACATCTTTTTTGGAGAAATTAAATTCTACTGTATAATGGCTGTATATAACTCATAGACCTAACGTTTAGAGACGGTTTAAGTAAAAGAAGCCAAAAGGCCAACATTTTTGAAGCAAGGACATGGAATCCATTGAGCATGTTAAATGCAAACTATAAAACATTAAAAGTAGGTGGTTGGCAAGTAAAGCACAAGATGTTAAAGACAGAGATGAATGGAATGACCACAAAATATTTTGTTGGTGGACCTGAAATGAAACATACAAGAAGTGTTAAAGTAGTCACAATATTCTAAACATATACAAAATGAAATTGTCATGAGCTTTGAATTCAATGATCCATTTATAAAATGCATTCTGCATCCATGTGGTTTTAAACCAAGAGTTACATATAAAATCCTGGAATGTTCATCAAACTGTTTGCAAAATATAACTGCATATACTTTTACTTCAGTTTCTTTGGTACAGGAAGTGCATGCAGTTGACCCAGCAGGCCTTCTGTCTGTGCATTCACTGTTAGCAAAGGGAAACAGAGATAGAGAAAGAAATATTGCATCATCTCAAAGTTTATGTGTGTGGACTTTTACTTCATCCGCTCCCTATTCTCAGTGTCAGATTTTCCCATCACTTCTCCCAAACTTTTTCTAGGTGGTTTGAAAATAACTTTAAAAAGTGTAGTTCTAGCATTTTCATTTCCTTCACAAGTCTTTCTGTAGCATGACATCTAGGACCGCTCATGTCATTGTGTGACTGGAGGTTGTTAGTTGTACATCTGATGTTATCCACCGTGCCTACTGATGCTTTAGAGACTCCCTCAGCTCTGCTCATGTTAGCCTTCCAACCAAGCAGACCTTCTACCCTATCTTCCCCCACTCAGCCGCCAGACAGCAGCCAGACTGAACACCTTCTAACATAGATGGAGCATGTGCCTTGCAACCATTTCTGGCATTCGCTACGTGCCAAATACCGTACAAGGTCTAGGGACCTAACAGATATAGATTGCTTCCCGACTCATAGATTCAAGTTCAGCTTCTTTGGGCTAGGGATAGGGTAGTAAGTTGGGGGTAGATTTGTCAGACAATAAACTATCACATATATAATTTTACAACTCCATTTTAATAAGTGTTACAAGAGACAGGTAGAGGTTAGGATACAGAGTTGCCTGACAAATATTGAGAAGGCGAAGAAAATATTCCCTAAAGAAGAGAGCTGAGCAGTAAAAGATCAGGAACAGCAGGAGCCAGAAGAGGGATGGCCTTTTAAGCAGAAGGATGAGTAAGTGAGGGAAGCTTAGTGTTTGAGGGACTAAGTACACTGTAGTGATTGGTACAAGACCACCGGCATCAACCCAGCACACCAAGATGCCGAGTGCCCTCTCCTGAAGGTGATCCACTACCCCCATCTCTAAGTATTATCCCATCGGGGGTTAGGGATTCAGTGTGCCAATTTGGATGGAGGATAGAATTCACTGTATAAAAGCAGGGGCTAGGGGTTTAGCTCAGCAGCACTGCACCTGCCTGGTAAGCGTAAGTTGGAGAGTTTGATTCCCAGTACCGGAAAAAAAAACAAATAAAACAAACAAACAAACAAAACCATTGTATAAAAGCAGAATAGCACTTACACTGTTAATATGCCCCTACGATAGAAATATAAACACTTCTTTTTCCCAACCTCATCTGTATTTGTAGATCAATCTGAAATGTAAACTACAGTAAACAAAAGGATTTTCTTTTTCCTTATTCTGCAGAGCTTTTTCATATATTTTAATAAAACTGAGCAATCAAGTGTTTTTCTTACATAAGTTTTACACTTACATTTTTAAATACCAGTAAAAGCATACACGTGATTGTAACATTTTGCCTATTTTTTTGTAAAAAGTTGTCTCAATGATAGGAGACAAATATTAAACAAAAGTAACATTCAAATAATATTGCAGTACTCTGTCATGGTTATATGTCTAGCATGGTCTTAATTTATTAATATAACAATACATATCTGAAAACTAGCAAATAAAATCAACTAAGTCATCACTATACACTTGTAATCAATACATGTTATGCACACTATTTAGGCAATTAATCTCATCTCTGTTATCTAACACTTCACAAAATCTATTTTCAAGTTTTCAAACCTATCGCTAGTAGAGAAAATATAAGCAAAAGTGGACCTTCTATCCTGCTTCAACCAAAGTCCACCAGCTTGGCTCAAGGGACAAAAGATGTCTTCCTTGGTGATGTGGGATAGATGATAGAGAAAACTGATGCCAGTCGTTTCTTCAAATTGTATATTGAGAAGAGTTTTGATATATTAACATTTAGAAAATGCATGAACATGAGGAAATAGGGAACATCTGCTGAGGAAGATTTACGCTGGGTTTGTCATTTCTCTCAGTTTGATATTTCTAAGTTTATTTCTAATGATGGCAAGTTACATTTCATTCATCACATAAAATATTACTCATATTAAGTATGTCAGAGTCAGATGAACTGTCAACAAGTACCTATATCATAAAAAGATATCTTCATTTATCATCACAATAAACATTGAGTAAACATCTACTGTGCCCCATCCATGTTGAGAAGCTCTTAGTTCAGGCCTTTACAAAAAACATAAGTCCTAGTCTTAGAGAAATTTTATGTCTGGACACCGCTAATGCACTCCATGTCCTTCGCTTAATCATCAGGATGTAGTTAGTATATAATTAGTTTCCAGTTGTTATATTTCCATTTGAAAATATAAAATGCTTCTAGGTATTTGTATAGCTTTTCCTACTAGGAGATCAAAAAATGTACACAAGAAGCATATGTATTGTTTAATGCAGAGGAGAATACTAACCGTTGTACCTCACTTTTACTGTGCTGTGTTATGAGCTCATTTTCTCCATTCTCGGGGAGACTATTCACATTTGCCTTCATTTATGGAGCAAAATTAATGCAAACTTCTCTCTGATATAATGTCATTTCTATTAGTTCTCCCTTAAAAAGAACCTTGCGATGTTAGCCTTTATAATATTCCTTTTTATGATCTCACAGAAAGTAGCAGTAGAATGCTGGTTACCAGTAGCCCAGAAGGATGGGGAGGAGGATGGGGCATGATCAGGGGAGACTCAGGTATTGTTGAAAGGCAACAAGAGGTTCTGATATGCTTTTGAACAACAGCATGACTCTGAGTAATCGGAAATCAAACTCAGGAACTTGTGCTTGCCAGGCAGGCACTGTGCTGCTGAGCTGTATCCCCAGCAGTATTTGTATTTTAAATGCACTCACCATAAAGAAATGATATATGCTTGAGGATATATTTAACCTGATGTAAACATCACACAAAGTATACATATATCAAGGCATCATAGAGAACCCCATAAATATGCACAATTCTTGTTTTGATATATCAATTAAAATAAATTTTAAAAACTATATCTCCTTTATACATTCCTCCGTTGATGGGCATTGGGTCTATTTCCAAGATTTGGCTATTACAAACTTTTTGGGAGATACCAAGAAGAGGAAAAGCTGTGCTGAATTGAACCTTCAGTTGTAGTTTTAGAGGAAGCATGACACTGATTTCCACAGTAGTTGCACCAGTCCACACTCCCACCAGTGCTGGAGTAGGGTTCCTTTTTCCCCACAGCCTCACCAGCATTTGTTACTGGTTG